GAGCTAAAATAACAAAGTCTGAAGAAAAATCTAGACTGCAAAAAATATGAAAAAATCTCATTATTTGTAGTCAATGATTTATGAAATTATTACTAACATAATTAACTATAAACATCACTGTAAGTATTTCAGAGGTTAAATAAATCAGTGTTAGTGTTGTGCAAAGCTCACTGGTTCTCTCTCTGGGAGTTTTGGTCGTGTAAACGGAGAACGAGTTGAACTCGTTCAGGTACGGCTCGAGGAACGCCACCGGCATCGCAGCAGCTAAATGAGCCAAACACTCGCCGAGAGCCGGTCGCTGTCTGCACACATACATTAAAACATCTGAGTRCATTTAGAAAGAAACGACTGAACGGAAACATTAACTCTCTTTTCTTTTAAATACAAAACACACTGTGTGTTCTTACTTCTCCACGTGTGGGGTCTTCACCGTTCCCAGAGAGTAGATGCTACACATTAACCGATAGCAGGATATCTGCAGGTCATCCACTTGGGATGTTAAGAAAAGAAGATTTTGTTAGCCTGTAATCACGATTATTTCTTTAAAAAACAGTCAAGAGTTGTGAATTTAAACTCACAGATGACATCGTCTCCAAACTGATGCTGGGCGATGTGATCGAAGAGTGAGGTGAGGACAGGAAGTAGGGCTGTGGTGGTGTAGTTAATGTTCTGGGACACCCCTTTAACCTGTAGGAACAAATACAACCAATACACAATGTTGGGTTAYCTCTACCACGCTGTTTATTTTGTGTCGCTTTTAATTCTGCGTCAGAAACAAAGTTTCTGACCTGATTTCTGCTGGACACTTTGCCCAGTTTCAGATTCTCCACCATCTTCTCGATGTCGTCTGCGGCGCTCTCAAAAAACTGGCGTAGGATGGCTTTCACGATCTCCGGACCGGACTTCATGACGGTCCTTGGAAAGAACAGACGGTTACAGGCTCCTGTTGTTCCTCTGAGCCTGGGGGGGATTAACGTGATGTGAAATGTTACCTGGCATCAAGTGAGCGTGAGAGGATGTGGAGACAGTTCACCACCGCGGGAGCGTCGGTTCCTGAAAACGGCACAGAAAGTAGGTTCCATCACTGCTCTTTTGTACAAATGCTAAGATTTAAAGATCAGTCTGGAAAAACTGTCCTAAAAGCTTTTTATTTGTTCCACAGAGTCAATGGAAAATGATATTTTTGTCTGTTTATTATGTTACCGCTGCTGTTTTCACTCATATCAACGTAGCTATAGCTGTGTTTCCATTTCAAATGTGCTCAAAACTTTGTCGATATTCTATTAATGTCGAAAAACACAGTTTCACAACTGCAGTGTTTCCATTAAGTAAGAAATGCTATTAAAGTCACGTGAATACGTTTGTTCTCATG